ATTTTATATAAAAATGTCAACGTTATCGGTGCAATTAAAGTAATGTAAAAATGTCGTAACTAATTTGGTATGTCGGTATAGCGACTCGCTACGGGCTGGACGACCGAGGGATCGGAATTCGAGTCCTTGTAGGGACAAGCATTTCTTTTCTCTACGTCGTTCAGACCAACTCTGGGGTCCACCAAACCTCCTATCCAATGGATACTGTGGGGGCTCTTTCCCCGGGGGTAAAGCGGCCAGGGATTGAAGCTGACCACTCATCTCCAGCTAGTGCCGAAGTCAAGAAAATGTGGATCTATACATCTACTCCCCCATATGCCTTCAGGCGTAGTGCTTAATTGGTTAAGCACAGGGACAACTTTACCTTTAATTATATGAATTTTATAGGTATTTTATATTATGTTTTTCATAAATGTTTGTGTTTTACGTTCCACTAAATTATTTCTGACATAAACGAATATCTTTGTTTTATATCAGACACAGAGTATAGAACCGGCCCCTTTTGTACTTTAAACCATGAGTATAACGGTGAAACTGATACACTTCAGTAATGAGAAAAATCGGGGCCACGCCATAGCTCAAGCGGTTAGTCGCTGACTTCCCATCGCGGCGGCCCGGGTTCGATCCTGTGTCTGGTCAACTGGGATTTGTGGTGGACAAAATAGCGCTGGGGCAGGTTTTCTCCGAGTATTTCGGTTTCTCCTGCCAATCTTCATTCCACCAATTGCTCCACAGTCACCCTCACCTATCATCTGGGGCTGGGACAATAGGCCAGAAGTGGCTGCAGTACAAGGGACTTATTCCCACCCCACTAGCAATAAAAAGAAAATGAGAAAAATCGGAATTTCAGTTTTGACATGGAATTGAAAAAATTGTTTAGTAAAGAAGGAATCTTCTGTACATTCGTTATGTATTAAATAAATTCACAGGTGTTATAAATGGTTTTCGCTAACCACAGAGTGACTGTTCTATGTTTATCAATACAAGCAATCACAGGAATCAATTATTTCTTCCACAGATCTCCGTTTATTTTAAAATTTCATCGAAATATTTATATATTGCACAGCATGTGTCTTGTATCAAATTTTATTGATTAACCTAGATTTGTGTGTGTTAATTTTTCCTAGGGCAGGAAATCTTTCTTAATTCTGAAATACAGTAACATACAGTAAAATTCTGTTAATAAGCATGAGATGCTTGTGTCCGGTATATGTCAGAAAATAAGTAGTTGTTAATTGCGTTATCCATTTCATAAATAAACGTTACAGTATTCTTGAGCACAGAAGTCACAGTGGATACAACATAGTGAGATTTTTAAACGAACATCCATTTTTTAACTAACAGTTAAGGGCACTAGAGAGCTAGTGTACATACAAAATTTACTAAAAGTATTATTTTATCTAACAAACACATTATCAATCCACCAGTAACAGCGATATTTTCTTTTAATTCTACCGAAGTGTTGATATTGATGATAATAATGTTTTATGGCCAATTGCAAACCCATTGACAATATACTGATCTAGACTTACGTTGCAGGGAACATAAGACAGAAATTATCATCAACAAACTCGATTGACATAATGAATTCACGCTTTCCTTTGAATCTTTGTATTACACGTTGTTCTTAAAATCCACTTATGTACATATGGCTTTAACTTAATGTAGGAGTACAATACAATAGACAATTTACAGGATACGATATCATCTACAAAAAGGAATCCACAGTCTTGCTTTGTTTATATATAATGCTAAATTACTCGCGTCAATACGAATTAATTAAGTTCTAACACTACTTGCAAGAGACGGACAATTTCTGAAATTACTTGAACAGTTTCCTAAGTCACTGTATTCATTATACTAAAAGAGGACGGAGGGATGGGTTTCAACTCAGCATGTCTATAGTTCTCTGTGCTTTCACTATATGTATGAAACTTTATATCACTGTTATTAATGAACACGCTGTAGTTTAGTGTAAAGTATTAGAGCTAGCACCATGGGTGAGGGCATGCGCACACGAACAGCATTCCGTTCTTTTGGACGTGGTCATGAACACGGACGAGTCTATTTTGTCGAACAATGCGCAGAGAGGTGAAGCAGGTCAGAATGCTGCCTGTCTCTGTTAAAGCAAATGTTTTAGTATGGTACTCCCACTAACCTCTTGCCTTCTCATGATATGCGTGTTCACCTGCCATCACTTTCGGTGCTAGTTCTATCACTCTTACAACTTCCAGCTTCCAGAGATGTTACAAGGCCAGTCTTTCATGTCATAAACAACTTTGCGGTTGAGACATGGCAACTTTATTTGTGAGTGTATTATTTTCCTTAAGAAATAAACTTTTTCACACACTCTCCAACTGCGGCATCTAATGTTCTCAATGGAATCTATATATATTATTTATGCGCGTTATAGTGCATTGAGATTAATTAACATTTGATTATTAATATATACAAAAACACGTGATGTAGTAATATGAAAGGGATTTCATTGTGCTCTTCATGAGTGTAGTATTGAGGTAGAGACATTTCATTTTCTTGTTTTTGAAGAAATAATGAAAGACGAATTTCAGTTTTGGATTTGTTAGACGGTGCCATATTTCAATGCGGAAGCGGTGCAAAAATAGCAGAAAGGGAAAATTATTCAATAGAAACCCGTCCAATGGTGTATACCTATATGGCCCGGCCATATATTTCTCGCAGAATTCCGTGTTCTTCTGGCAATTTTAATGGCGGACAAGCAGATGCATTTCAGTGTCCAGTTGAAATCAGCCTTCTTGGATGCCTTCTTCAGAGATAGAAAGAATGGGAGCTATCCGGGTTGTGCAAGAAGTGCTCTAATATCTTCCAAACCATTTAACAAATTCAGTGGGCCACGGACGGGTTTCTATTGAACCGAAATCTCTGGTAATCGCTCTCGTTTTGTTCTTGTTCAGTTTCTCTTGTAATAGAGTGTAATTCGGATAGTTACGATGTAAGAACTGTGCCATATTTTGAAGACTATACAAGGCCAAAAATACACAAAATACAAAGTTCCATTAGCTTATCAGAGGTTCTCACGGTGGAATGAAGACCATGGTCTTCTAGGATGTGACACCTTTTAGTTTTACACATAGGTATCGAAGTTGCGGGGAAACCACCTTAAAGATCATGGAAAAGTCTGCCGAAACGTCGGTACCATCAACCCCCCCCCAAACGTCAGAGTACCGGAAATAGGTGGAAGGACAATAGTCCATTGACTACCAACCTTATCACAAAATAGATAACTTACAGTCCAGTGCGACACACAAATTCACCACACTTCGGTCTTCACTCGCCTTACATGTTTCGATTCAATACAATCATCTTCAGAGGCGCACCAGTATGAGCAAGAAACACTGTCACATGTACTGTATGTACGTGAATGCAAAAGGGCAAATTGTAATACAGTGAGCACTATTTATAACCTTAGTGCATAACGTCAAATCTTATGTGACAGTGTTTCNCCCCCCCCCCCCAGCAATACGTTACGCTTCAAACACATACGAAACTTCATCTGCTGTCCATAAACGTAATGAACGTGGTATGATTATGAGATGTATAGGCTGCAAATATAAGGAGGTGTTACAAACTCTGTTAGCAAGTTTTAGAGGTCTCAGCTGACGTGAATGGTTGTCATGAGACAGAAACTTAATACTGCTTTTAAGAAAAGCCTCTCACTTGAGAAGATATAATCTATATAATTTCTTTATAAATATGTCTTGGATCTTTATAATATGATAAAATTAAACCAAGGTTTTAGAAATAATATTTGTAACCAGATTATGAAGGCTATATTCAGGTACAGAAATTACGGCGGCATTAGTCGGTTAAAGCACAGTGGTTATTATGTATAGCAGCCGCCATAACATTTTAAGAAAAGAATTTTACCAACATGTCTTTATGTGTTTCGTATGATTCTCAGAAAGAACATCGATTATTTGGCTAAACAGCGTTATCTGGCTGGTCTTTGTAATGGAGACGTGATGTGTTTCCTGTGAGGGAGGAACTGAGATTTTAAATGTTGTTTCGACTACTTTTAGGCTTCAGAGTGTTAATAAATACACTAAACTAATACAGATAAACTAAACTGGGCCAGAAAGAGTAGCCGCAAGAAATACAGACACGAAGAATATAATATAGTTAGGTTATTAAAATTTGTACCCATCATTTAATTTTGTTAGCTTGGTTAGATCAAGAAGGGATTAGAATGAATTTGGAGGGAAACTAGAAATACTTATAAAATGCTGGGAGAAATATCTCAAGAGAAGGTATAACGTGGTGAAATAGATTTTAGAGAAACCAGGTGTGAAATAAATTGTATCAAACTAGCTCATTATAGTGTGAAATGTCCGGTTTTGTGTGTATGGCCATGGACATTCATGTCATAGACAAGAGAGAACTCTTTGACCTCTTGAATAACTATCAACTGTTGATTAGACTTTGTATCTAGCAATTTGTGGAGTTCAAACCTGTAATATTTAAATTGTGTCACATTTGCCAAAACCGTCCTAGGAATACAGGTATAATGAAATTGAGGGAAATTAAAACGACGCTGTGCATCTGATCGTGGCCGTTGAAAATATTCATATTTTCTTATACACTGCCTATTACGGGAATGGCAGAAAACTTGTCATTCCAATGTATGCACTATTTTCGCGAAAACATGAAGTTTCATGAGTTCCTTCGAAATACATTTAATATGTGCCGATTAATAATATTTGGTTACTAAAAAACATATTATCTGGCACGTCCGTTTAGGACAGACACGGAAATACTGTTCTGTTTTGTTATATGGAATATTCCTAAAACAAAATGAAATTAGGGCACACTTTTCATAAATACACCGGACCCATTATAAGCCAGGTTCTGAAACCGATATATATATATATATATATATGTGTGTGTGTGTGTGTGTGTGTGTGTGTGTAAAGGTGTCATTTACCTCCTCACAAATGTAGATGGAACAAGACCTGTATATTCTCACGAAAAATGAGATCTCATCAATGGTTATATGTAGTATTTACATAAAAATACTTAATGTAATTAACATTGTTTGTCACAGCGATACATTTTATGACACCTTACTCTCAGTTCTCCCGATAAACTCCCAATACACACTCAAACGATAAACGATTTAACTACGTTTATTACTTTAAATTTATTGTAATGTAATTAATTACTTTATTATTCCCTAGATCTAAAATGCTTGAAACATTCGTTATAATATATTTACGAATATTGAGGTTATTAATTGACAGATAATTCATACACAATCCTGAGACACTGTAGGAATCTTTCTTCGACTTGAAAGTCTTAGGAAACTCCGCAATGTGGTTGTGCTGTTCGGTCTGTATCAGACGTAAGTACTTTGTACGTCTGTCTGTGAGGCAGGCGTTGACCACTTCCTCAACATTCTAGGCTTAAACAGCAATGCGAAAGTTGTACGAAATTGTCGACTCATCGAACAATATAATATAAAATTGATGGCACCATTTAGAAGTGCCAATATGTCCATAACTTCACCAAACAAATAGTAACATGTTCGGAAGAAGCATCTTCCCAGGACTACACTGAGAAGTCCAAGTATACCTTGAGGGAATTCTGTAATGAGGAAGAGCATGAGGACGGCCACAAGCATCTTCGTGGTTCTGTCTGTTCGCCTTTCGGACTTGGATACGATTCGTTTCTCGGAAGCCAAGAAACCTGCAGCGTTGCAATTGTTGTATCCTGCGGGAAAAAAAGGCAAAACTATGATATAATGGATATCCTGCTCTGTTCAGAGAATCACTACAATAGGTATTTGTCTTGGACCCCAACATTAATATTAATTTAATCACAATATAATTTATGCGTTGTGACACAACGTTTTGCCCCAAATGGGTACCAGCATGTCGGACGAATATATGTTCTCCAGCTTGATTTTAGAAGAGAGTCATGTTGGATCCATTACCCCTATGTCGCTTTGAGGCACTATGCTACAAGGTTGCGGGTTCAAGTCCCGATGAGGTCATTGGATTTTTTTTTCAACTGACCTAATCCTTCCAGCCGCACAATGGCCCTGGGGTCGACTCATCTTCTAACAGAAATCAGTACCAGGAATTAATGAAATAATTTTCTTGGGGAGTAAAGCGCGGCCGGCGCGTAAGGCTGACAACCTTACCGCCATCCTTCAGCCGATTGTCTAGATAATGTGGGACCCTCAACGTCTCACAACCCTATGGGCCTTCATGGCCTGTTACAGGGATAGCTTTACTTTTTTTCACTAGTGACTGTGGCCATTGTGACCTTCCACTTAGCATGTAACATAATTTAATAAACATCAAATTTCAACATAAAATAATATTTATTTTTTCAACACCTCGACACATTTCTGTTCTAAAATAATAAGCATCAGGAGTGTTCTTGAGCCAGAACTTATAGTACTACCACTCAAGGTTTCTGCAAGAGTGTGTATCCATTCTATAGGCTTTTATTACAATTAAAAATAAATATGTGGCTATGTATAGATATGTGATTGTAGTAAACGTATTTGCTAATAGAAGATCTCTGATGATGACTGAGAGTTGTAACTTGTCGGGGTGTTGAATAAATAAATATTATTTGTGTTATAACTTAATGGTGTCTATTAAAATACGTGTATATTAAATGGTGATGTATTACAACGGCACAGGAACTAATGTGGAAATACGCAATATAATATTTCAATGGAAGGATCACTAGTGTCCATTCTTAGGATCAAGGAACAAAGTACCCATGTCTTGGTAAGAGGAACATCTGAGTTTAAGAGACATAAATTGAGAGGAGGGCGGATAAAATTTTGTAATGAGGAGCCTCATTTTGTGCATTCTTTTTTTAATTTTATTAGGATCAGCAAGGAAAGGACACAGATGTTACGGGCATGTAACAAGCACCGGGAAAACGAGAGATGTATGCAGTGATTTTGTTGGGAAGCCTCAAGGTGAGGGACAAATTTGGAGACCTAGGCATCGATGGGAGAATAATATTAAAATGTAAGGGTGTGGACCGCATCTTGTGACTCGTTGTGCATACATTTAAACATTGGATTTCCTTGGAAGACAGGTAATTCCTTGATCAGCTGAAAGACTGTTAGCTTTTCAAGAATAACAAATACAGGAGAACGAATTCAATATCACAGGTTTATATTTTGGTATGGAGGTTGCACAAAGTACCTTCTCTGTTTAGGAAAGAGCCATATTGCAGAATGTAGGAAGAGGGGCTACTTGCCTTTGAGGGCCTGTTTCCTGCGGTTGGCCCTATATAGCGCCTTGATGAGCCAACAGCTGATGACGGTAAGAATGGCGCAGGGCAGTAGCTTAATGATGATGCCGTAGATCCAGAAGTTGATGTAGTAGAGCAGCTCGTCATCCTCCCTGGCCACCCCGCTCAGTCCCACGTGGTACAGAACTATGACCTCGTCATTCTCTAACACAACCGTTGCCTGTATCTTGAACATGAAGTAGGACGGGATGCAGACCAGCAGGGGCAGCGTGTAGCCGATCCCGATGGCAAGGTTGCACCGTTTATCAGAACATAGAATATGGCTTCGTTGTGGGAACCTGCAAGCATTTTGGGAACGTTATAGCTCCAGAAGTGATATCGTGACGACTTCACTGTAATAAGCCACACCTGTCTTTTGTTCAATTTCTATTCGTGGGCCGAAAGTAAGCTGCTTGACTGAGCGGCCTTCGTAGTCTAGGGGTAACGTTCCCACCTCGTGACTCAAGGTACGCGGGTTCAAACCCGGCGGAAGTCGTGGAATTTTTAAGGGCGGAAAAATTCAGGGAACAAGTCCTCCGGGAGGGACTTTAAGCCGTGGGACCTCTGAGCCAAATTCAGGACATTTCCCGCCCAACAGTAGTCTCTAACGCCTCTGGTAGATGGGGGAAGCATCGAGATACCGCTGAGCCAGTAGAGGCCGAACTCGCCGGCTGAGTCGGGACTGATGGTACGCACCAGTACCGGTAGGGTATAGAGACTGGTAGAATATCACAGGGGGACGCACAATGGACCAATATCTGATCTAAGTGCATGGGGAAACCCACCCTCTCCAATAAAAACAATAACAACAACAAGCTGGTTGACTGAGGACTTCGTGGTTTCAGCCAGTCTCTTAAAGGATATATTACTTGCTTCCGTTCAGTAGCGCAGGATGTTAGTAGTGTGCTTCTCACTGGGGTTCGATCCTCGGTCTCGTATTGTGGGATTTATGGTGAAGAAAGTGGCACAGGTAGTTTTTTTTCAGAGTACCTTGATTTCCTCCTGTCAGATTGCAACCTACTACAAATTCCATCATCGATGCTGTATAGTCTCGTTACTGACAGCATCGTTAAATTACCAACAAAAGAATATTACACTTGCATTTCAGCCCTTTCGAATACTGAACGCATAATTGTGTGGTTCATGTCATTAAACATGAGAATGTTAGAAGGAGAAGGTGATGGAGGAAGTAAAGGTTATGGAGGATGAGATGAAAGGACAGGAAGAGAAAAGAGAAGAGGTAGAGAAGAAAGAGAAATACGAATATTAGTAATGAATGATTATGAAGATAAGTGATGTAGAAGAAGTAGGAGATTAAAAAGGAGAAGAAGATAGGAGGAAGAAAACACGAAAATTATTCTGGTATGTAAGCGTTAGGTTCTGAAGTCACCCATAGACACAGAAACTATTGTAGAACTTTAACATCTATGTGACCAGATATCAGCCATCTATACTGATTAAACTGTGGGGAGGTGGTGAGAAACTCAAATTTCCGCACTTGGTATTGAATGTATTAGCGGGCGCCTTTCTGAACAGCTGTTCAAAGACGGATTCGTATCGTAAAGTCAGTCAGTTTGCATTACATTGTACAGATCCTACTGTTTCTCAGATTGAAAACAGAGTGAAGCATTCCTCTCTGTGTTTGGTTTCCAAGAATAACGTTTGAGTTTCAAAATGGCACGTAGTAATTTCGTGTTAAGCTCATAGAACCTTGTAAGATTACGTCTGTCTTCCCGGGAGCGAGCTGAGAGATTAATTACAGCGAAAGTGACTAAGGAACACTCAAGAACCATTATCATGCTAATTATATCCTAAAATATTCACTTTCAGAATAGAGGATGGCTTGAAATAGAGTCCTCTATATTCTTACCTTTCTTTAATATGGGACTGGGCACGCAGTACCGTAGTTGTTTGAGGCACTATGCTACAAACAGGAAAGACGCGTATTCGATTCCAAGTGAGGTCATTGGATTTTTCAATTAATCAAATCTTTCCAGCCGCACTATGGCCCTGGGGTCGACTCGGCCTCTAACAGAAATAAGTACCAGGAATCTTCCTGGGGTTAAAGGGCGGCCGGGGCGTATGGCTGATAACCACATCGCCATCCATGAGCCGATTGTCTACAAAATATGGGAGCATCGACGGCTCACAACCCTATGAGTCTCCACAGCCTGTTACAAAGATAGCTTCATCTTTATTACTGTGGGAATAACACAGGAAGTTTAAAAAGAAAAGACCTGGCAGATATACCAATCCAGACTTCCATTTGAGGGCCAGAACAGTGCCTTATCGGCGTTTCTTTATTGCTAGTGGGGTGGGACTAAGTCCCTTGTACTGCGGCCACTTCTGGCCTATTGTATCAGCCCCAGATGATAAGTGAGGGTGATTGTGCAGCAATTGGTGGAATGAAGATTGGCAAGGGAAACCGAAGTACTCGGAGAAAACCTGCCCCAGCGCCACTTTGTCCACCACAAATCCTACTTGACGAGACCCGGGATCGAACCCGGGCCGCCGCGGTGGGAAGCCAGCGACTAACCGCTTGAGCTATGGCGCGGCCATATCTTATCTGCGCTGCTTGACATGTCATATTACTAATCGGCCTCAAGTATAAAATCTGAAGAGGGAATTTTTCGATGCAAATGCACAAGCCTATGTCGTATACGTAGTAGCCTATTAAATGTATCCGCTTGTAGTGTGAACAGACTCTGTCACTTCCAGCCTAACACTACCTGATTCCATGTAGATGAACCCTTAATGAGAAGCCGCCCATCTCTCAGCCACTCAAAATTTCCAAACTTTTAATGGAACTCGAAGGTTCATTACCATGTTCAAATAAGCCCTCCACTGGTTCAGATCTTGAGCCGGATCAATTCAGTCTATATCACCCCATCCTATGTTAGACCAATTTTAATAATGTTATCCTAGTACCAACGTCTTGGTCTGCTTAGTGGTCTCTTTCCCTCTGGCTTTTCCGTCAAAATCCTATATGCGTTTTTCTTATCACCCATACATGCTACATACCCTGTCAATCTCGTCCTCCATGACTTTAGCATTATAATTATATGTGGCAAGGAGTACAAGTTATGAAGCTCCTCATTATGCAGGTTTTCTAACCTCCCGTCACTTCATCTCTCTTCGGTCCAAATATTCTCCTCAACACCCTGTTCTCAAACACCCTCAGTCTATGTTCCTCTCTTAATATCAGAGACCACGCTTCACACATATACAGAACCACGGGCAAAATTGTCGCCTTCAGCCTGGAATTTAAAATAGAACACTACGGTCTATCCGGAAGGGTGAATTATATGCTGCAGCTACAGTTTGCAAGGTAGTAAACGTTATCTGCTCTTCATAGAGGCATAAAATGCAGAGAGGTGAATCACTACAGCTCTGAACCAGAGCCATTCATACTTTTGTCCTGTTTCCGTGACAAAAACAGTCGAGATTCTGCGACATGATGAAACAGGAGTGGAGAATTGCACGACAGCAGGGGTCAAAGGCAATTTCAACTTTCAAATAGAATTTAATCAAGTGTCCCAAAGCGACTTTGTGTTGGAAAGTAATAATACAGATTTCCAAGTTTAGCCACATAGGGTTTTGCACTTGAATGCCTTACCGTGTAACATGCTCTGGAATTTATTCATAACGTTTGTAGCTTTTATTGATTACTGTAGCGACACAAATTGAAGTCAAGATGACGGATTTAATTGTGCAACATTCTATCTTAACTCGTTAGATAGGTGACAGCGGTTTCAGATAAAATTTTATTATTTAAGTACATATGTTTAGGCTCTAAAGTACGAATATATTGGTTCAACACTAGAACTTTGTTAGGTATGTATACTCCTCTTCGCAAGGGGATTTAACTATAAGAAGTGGGTGTTTTCATAACCCTGGGATTCACCTTTAAAGAGTGACTATAAAAAACATAACATACATGGTCTAAGTGGGATACGAACCCGAGATCAGTGTAACTCGTACACCAAACACCACGCTTAAATCACCATAGCAGTCATGTCTGTGTATCTGTGCACTTAAAGAGCTAAATAAATTTATTTTTTGTTATGAAGTATAATGACAATATTGAGTAATTAATGATACACGTGTGTAATTAACATTCATCGTCCTTTATTCATTCACTTATCCGTTTTCTTTTTTTTTTGTGTAGCTTAACCAGATGTTGCTATAAATTTTGAGCCCATAGCGTTAGCGATTTTTGCTGCGTTTTATCATGTTTTCCCTCAGTCTCCCTAGAACAATTTTGAGAAAGTACGTAGAAATAAGTCCTGCAGATTCACCTGTTTGTCGTTCTGTCACCTTATTCGGCACTAAATAACTCTGAGATTGATGCAGCATCGTTAATAAACTAACTTCATAGAGCACGGTCCCTCTTGAGACTGTAATAGTCGGGCATCTCAGAAAAAGAAAATTCCTGCCCTTCACGGAACGCGAAAATTTATTACCGTATTCACAAGATCCCGTCATTGGCCGCTGTCCTGAGCCAATCCATACCCTCCCGCGCCCTTTTAAAATCAGTTATCTAATGTTAACCTCGCTTCTGCCGTCTAGGTCTTTCAGGTGATTGTCAACCCTTTAAATTGCATTGCTCACTACATGTACAACTTGCCTTAACGTTGTGGCATATAGACCCGTTGCTAGGCAAAGACCTTGAAAGGAGCAACGCGACAACAGCCGTTGCTTTGCAATGATCGTGTGATAGGCGGTACTGTTAGACCCGTTTCTTGGTAACAGCCGGTAAATATGTCGGCGACATCCGACCTATCGCTAGGCAACCGCCTATAACAACAACAGAAAGACTGTTGGAGGCTGCGTTTTCTGTTGGGTCCACCCCGAGGCCATATACCGAGGACCCCAGACCGAATTGAACGGGGTCATTTGATAGCTGGCAAGCAGTTCTGTACTGGAACCTTGACGGAAGGGCCTGAGCGCTGGAAGTTGAAGAATCCCCACTAACATCCGGTACCAGGAAGCGGATGTTGAAGACACTGCAAGCTGGAGAAGACTTAGTATTTGCCGCAGTGGCTTGTAAAGTGTGGAGATCAGCGATAGCTCTGTAATTTCTTCTCGTTCCGAAAGGTGTGTATAAGTGGTCAGTAAATCCAACATCCAACCAAACCCCGTCTATAGTCACACCCCTAAATGAGTGATAGTGTTAAGTTATTCTACATTTTCCGCACATAATATATTTATGTCTTTGTATGATTTTCCGAATAAGCTATTATTTCCCTAACAGAATTAAGCATTTGGTCTTCGTAATGGACGAACCATGTATTATGAGGTAGGATCTGAATTTTTAAATATTATGTTTTTTTTTCCCCTTGGCACTACAGCCGTAGTGGGCCTAGGCCTACCTCCATGAACTTCTCCGTTCACTTTTTCTAGATCTTACTCATTCGGTAAGACTCCTTGGGCGGGTGATCAGCTCATCGCAAGGCCTCTACCTGTATACAGACACAGAAAAACGCACACACACGAACTAAATATCCATGCCCTAAGTGGGATTCGAACCCACGATCCAGGCTTCCGAGCGAGCGAAGACAGTACATGCCTTAGACCGCGCGGCTACCGTGACCGGCCTTAAATATTATGTAGGTGCGCTTAATGTTTCAAAAGGAACAATCCTGCGGAATTCTCTCACCTGATGGCGATATACCTCCAGACGGCCAGAACAAGGGTCAGGCCGATTGAGATGGTGTGCAGCACCTGTGTAAAGTGTGAGTGGAAGAGCACGAACACTGCCCAGTTGTAGGGCATGTAGAGTTGCCCAGGTAGCACCAGGTACGCGTAGCACGCATAGGGCACATACTCCAGCATGACAAGCATGTCAGCAATGGCGAGAGCCGTTAGGATCCTGTTGATTGGGGCGCTGACCATGTCCTTCCTAGTGAGCACCGCCACATTCAGCACGTTGGCCACGGTGCCAAATATACAGACGATCAGACTGAAATACCCGTGCACTGACTTGTACGATACCAAAACTTCCCGCATGGTGCCGCTGCAGTAGCACTGGCTCATGATTGAAACAGGCCTCGACGATATGTTTAACATCTTCTCAATGTCACTGATGTTGAAATGTTCCAGAAGAGATTGAGTCTGAGGAAGAGCAGATGATAACAGTTCTTCATCGAAACCATCCAACTCTGCCAACGAGTTGTTGAAAGCGGAGTTTCCAGATAACGCATCCATAATGAGAAGTATTTTGAGTACACGTGCTAAACTATAGCTAGAATGTTGCAACAATGGTCGTAAAGTAGCATTCATGTTTCTTTCATTGTCATCTCTCCGTGGCCAAATGTGCCGCATAAATAATTGGTATGACACAAATAGAAGGAAATCGGACACGAACAGTTTGTGTCAAAGACGTTTTTCAAATACATGTCCATTCGTTTCACCTCCTTCGACTAATGGTTTTCAGTTTACGAAGGCAATATCTAGCAAATTTTCATTAAAATGCGTTTGATCTTGTATAATGTTCTTAACAATATTATGTCACAAAATTTCAGAGAATTTTTCTATTAGTATACTTGTAACTTGTATGGAAATCCATTTCATACCACGTTCATGTTATGAATTTTACTTCTAAATTTCCTGGTGCTAGATACTAAACTTGTAGTTAATAAGGACCTTCAGACATTTATGGAAATGCATTTTGAAAGAATAGTTTACATTATCACACAAATACGTGGTTGCAACTTCAGACCACAGTCATTGGAAGACAGGGCAGCCGCTTGTTAAATGTTTACAAACACTGTATTGTTCGTTTGTATGGTACAGGACTGGTAATTATTTGTCTAGATATCGATCAGTCTTTTGTCATTCTTAGTTGATAATTAATTTACGAACATGATCACAAGTTACATTTCATGAAATTCGCAAATGTCCACATAAACAAACACTCAGTTGATGTGCTCTCCATTTTGAAGCAGAATGTCGACAGAATAAGAAACCGCTTTTCACTTTCATCATTAGGATACAGCAAGGCTGTGTTAAATGGATACAATTCTAGAAAACGTCCGTTTGTCCTCAGTTCTATAATCGGTATGATGCTTATGCGCAAAGTTTATTTGATTGAATATCCTCTTTCAGAATTTTCAAGATCAGGGTTAAAAATTATTGGAAAGCAAATTTCGAGTTACGATGCAGAATGAAACACATCATGCTGTATGCATTTTGCATTGAACATGTGTTAATATTCTGACGATCTAAACATATGGACCGACAACAGTTTCGTTGCCCTTCGTGTAGCACTGTCTGTTTGTAACAACTTTCGTAAATGTTCGTGTCTGTTCATTCGCTCCGTGTATGCCTAAGTTATACACTTTGATTGAACTGTCAATTCTAATTTTCAATACGCCACTTTGCACTCGTAACTAACTTTTCGCACGAGTTCCTCTAAAAAAGTTCTAACTCTTAAGTAATTCATACTTTCGTAGATGTATTGTGTTCGTTCAGTACATTGTTTTCCAGTATAAATAGTGCATTCAGCTTCTGGAGTCCTCTTCACCGACACCTGTAACAACACAAACAAGATGAGTGTTAGCATGAACTCACGCCGACATCTGTAACAACACAAACGAGATGAGTGTTAGCATGAACTCACACCGACACCTGTAACAACACAAACAAGATGAGTGTTAGCATGAACTCAAACCGACATCTGTAACATCACAAACAAGATGAGTGTTAGCATGAACTCACACCGACATCTGTAACAACACATACAAGATGAGTGTTAGCATGAACTCACACCGACATCTGTAACAACACAAGCAAGATGAGTGTTAGCATGAACTCATGCCATGAACCCATCGAGGTTCGTTTATATTTACACGATACCACACCATTGGGAACAAGACGTAGGTGGGTTGATAATATTAAAATGGATCTTAGAGAGATAGGATTGAATGGTATGGACTGGATTGATCTGGCTCAGGATAGGGACCGGTGGAGAGCTCTTGTGAACACGGTAATGAACCTTCGGGTTCCATAAAATGCTGGGAAGTTCTCGAGTAGCTGCGCGACTGTTGGATTCTCAAGAAGGACTCAGCTCCATGAGTGAGTGATCACACAATTAGAATGGAACGCATTTTTTCGAATGGCGAATTGATCCCAGTAGACAATTTCGTTCAAACTCCATGGAGCAGAGCCCTTCAGAATGTACTAGAGATCCAGATGTTTAAATAATTCATCGAATTCTACGAAACCCGGAAGTTTGTTATTATATATTCAAGAGCCCTGGCTTTATGAAACCCTGTCCTACGTAAGATAATAATTGCTTGTCTAATCAAAAAATTCTCTTCTTTTATGGCACTCGGAGACTCATTAGCATGTTCACAAGAACCCACCAGTGAACCCTATCCTCAGACATACTAATTTACCCAACATTCTGACACCGTATTATTTCAAGATAAATTTTAATATCCCCCCCCCCAATTTATACCTAGGTCTCGTAAATGGTGTCTCCCTTTCAGGGTTTTTGACTAAATTGTGTATGATTTCTTATCCCTCCTATATGTGTTATATATCGCGCTACTGTTTGCGTTCTTTATTTCTTCAGAATGATTCGGGATAGCTCAGTCGGCACAAAGACGATCCGGGTTCGATTCCCACTATGCCAAGATTTTTCTCTTTTCCACAGCTTCCAGACCGACTCTGGGATCCAGCCAGCCTCCTGTCCAATTGATACCGGGGACAATATCGCCTGGGTTAAAGCGCCAGGTACATGAAACTGACCACTCACCTTGAGCTATTGTCGAGGTCGAGAATGGTGGAGCTATGCCTCCACTCCCCTATATGTATTCACGCCATAGTGCTTAACTAATGAAGCACAGTGACAGTTTTTTCCATTTATTTCTTCAAAATTTATGCATAAGCTGGCAGTACTCAAGACAAAGGTGTCACCGAGAAGGAAATGTGACCGCAGAGATGTACAGGTTTTAGTGCGTGAGAATTGTAGATAAAGGGCCAGATGCAAAATTCCGCCTTCCGCACCTTGATTGCAAAAATTACTGAGCTTAGAAAGTAATTAGCACTCTTCATTGTACACGACACTGTTAAGCCTGTGAGACGGGAAAGAGCACACAAGACAGTTGTTCACTGTGCTACATTACTTCATGGTATATATATCATGAACGTTTCTTGTTTCATGTGGATGTTATATACTTCCTTATATAACAGAATGCAGGAAAATGTTGCAAATGAGAATAGAGAAGAAAGGAGACATTCTCATAATAGGATGAGATGTCATTACGAACAGAGCGACAAAGTTACATCCATTTCTACCGACATCTCATTTTGTCCCCGGAAACAAAATTTTTGATACCGTCTTGTCGTAAACTAACGGCCCACTGTCCCCGTTGCCATCTTTATTCAAAATCGCATAGGCTTATTTCAAGACAGTGAAATACACGCCTGCCACGAAATGTGAAACATCCCCTTCTCAACTAGACACGAAGGAAATTGTGGTAGCGCCTGTCAGAATTTCGTAATATTTATAAAAGTAGGCCATCTTTACGACCTAATATAAACTGAGTCAACGTAGTAGGGAACCTGTTAAAAAAGATGTAGTTGCTCAGCTAGTCAAAACATTCCTTGAATTTTATTTAACCTGAGACTCATAAGAGCCCACCATTGATCTATATTCTGAGCCAAATGGATCCATTCCTTGCCTTCGAAATGTATATATTTAAGATCCATTTTAATATATTCCTTCGAAACTACTCCTAGCAGAAGTAACACTAAAGTGACTCCGAAAACGAATTCAATCAGTACCGATGTACGAGTATATTCAGGAGGTTTGATTCCCGGGGGGGGGGACAAGCAATTTTTTTCTACTCAGTAGTGTTCAGACCAGCTCTCGGGCTCACCAGTTTCCTAGCCAGTGGGTACTGTGTGTTTTCTCCAAGAGTTAAAACGGCCGGGGAATGAAACTAAGACCTCACCTCCATCTAGTGACGTGGTCAAGAATAGTAGAGCAACCTTCATCCCCCATACGTATTTATAGGGTGATGTTTGATAAATTGAGCGCAGTTACAATATTGCATTTTATACGATGTGCGATAATAGACCTCTAGGCAGACCCCGTTCTCATCGCAAAAGAACTATTTTAAAATGAAATTCGTTTAAAAAGTTTACTATCGTCTTAGGAGTGACACCGTGGAGCCTCGTAGACATTTACCGACGTTTTGGAGGAACGTTCCTCTTTCATCTTGTGGTTACCCTGACCAGACTACACTTCGCAATATCCCAGTAACTTTGATATTCCTACTCACCGCCGTGAGAACCGCGCAAAGTTCACTAAAATTGTCTCATGCAACAACGCCATCTGACTTCTACTGAAGAGATGCTCCAATTTCATTGTAGGAAAGGACACCGATTAACGCGACTCAGAGTTCTCATGCCTTTCCTCAGTTCCTACAGGAAAATTCAGAGATAATAAGGGTATGACTGTTCCCACAAAAACAAACAAACTTCGTGGTTTTAGTCCGCAAGCGAGCTATACCGAACGAGCGACCGCCGTTTGTCGGCGAAATTAATGTCAACTTCAGCGGATAGAAGGTTTCGGGTCGTTAGCGCAACGGATCCCGAAGGCCGTTAATTTCGGTTTTCTAGACCGGAGCCGCTATTTCCTTGAATAAGCTCCTCAAATATCCTCACGAGGCTGAGTGGACCCCGTTCCAGACCCACTACTAAGAAAATCTGGTAGCGCCGGGAATCGAACCCGAACCTGTGGATCTGTAACCAGGAACTCTGAACACTAGGCCACAGAGGCGGTCCCATCCACAGTAATTCGAGTGCGTATAGGCTGGTTTTGAGTTAGTGACAGCGTCATTAAGCAAATAAATAATTGGAGCCATTACACGACGAAGCTAACCACCGTGGTGTGTCGGAGGTGGTTGCGCTGTTTACCTGTCAGACAACACGGAGCTAACAGGAAATAAATCAATAAATGGAGAGCCTAGCAAACACGTCTATTCCAAGGGGAGTGCGGGGGCATTGCCAATGTTGGGACGAGACACGGAGGCCAACACACGAATCGCAAGATTGCATTAGCAAAGAAACTGGCATCAATGCACAGATATTCAGCTTCGGTAATACCGAGGCTCGCCACGGACTCGATTCCGAGCAATATGACCTCTGTACTAATTTATCCGGCTTATTTATCTGTGATGAATATTTGAATATAATACCCCCATATCCTTTCTAAGGTTATGGTATTTTAAGATGTGATATCATGTAGTTTGATGAATCAGCGCCATCATTGGCAAAGCAGCCCTTTTTGAGCCATAGCCTTCCTCAGAAAATTCCGGCCAGACTTGTCTATTCCGTCGTGAATTAGACCACCCGGTTTTCATTTCATTGGATTTCGCAACTATTTTCTTTACAGCAAGTTTGTAAGCCTTGCAGCCAACCCCATATTTGGAGGACGAGGTCTCTGTGTTTGTTTCCCCCCAGTGACAGCTTGGCCCAATTATACCCCCAGGCACGGGGTTCCCTTTTCATCGCCTTCTTCAGGTAGAGATGAAAACTAATCTGAAGACGGAGGCAGCAAGTTCCTCCGAAATGTTGGTACCCATGTACCAAGCTACATTACGTCACATCTCAGGAAAACTTGCTGAAACCCAACATCTAACGCTGATCCTTCTATTATAAAACGTTCATAAATTAACGCATAATGGGAAGATAGTTTCTTACTGACTGTTCATTGATAAGTATGGCTAATTTTCGAAATTTCTTAAAGGATTTCAATGGAATTTTATATTTACTTATGTAAATATTTTATTTGTTGCTTCTTAAACAATACATCGTCGAATGGTTGGATTAATTAAAGAATTTGGAAGGAGGCGGTCTGAATTATGAATCTTAGTCTCTTTTTAGTTGGTTACTAACGACTTGGTCAAATTTAGAGAGTATATATGTATATATATCGCCGATTAATCTTGTAGAAATTTTGTATGGTTCCCTACATGGAAAATCCTTCTATCGCAAGGCAACAACACAGGAAATAAGCCGTTATGCAGCTGTGCCCCGAGTGGGACTCTACCTTGCGATCCTATTGGTCGAGTGGAGAAAGAGATCACGTGCGCCACACCTCATGGTCACTGTGATAATCTGAGTTGTAATATATAAA